AAGACTATCTTCAGGATGAAGGATTTCTACAAAAATAATGAGATAATGCATGTTTTGATCATTTGATGGCAATTGACAAAATACCACAGAATTCTCTATGAAAGAACTCTATCGAAATTACTTCTGGTAGAAAATTCTGAAATTATTCTTTACTTGTGAAATTGGTGACTATTTGTCTTTTGTAAAATGAAGATATCTGATATTACAAATGCTCAGTGTACCTTTTTATAGCTTGGATACAGATTTATCTGCACAGTATATATGGATAACTTTGAGTATGTTTGAATATTTTGTTTGTGATATTGATAATATTGTCTTGATAAACACATTAGAAGACTCTTATTGCGTGTGCATCTTGGATAAATAAAAACTTACTGAATTATGCTATGTTTTCTGTCAAAACCTTATTTTTATTTTACAATAAGTCATACCATATGTGTCGTCAGAAAAAATGACTTAAACAATCTAAAAAATGCATTGTGATTCTATCTTATTGAAGACTATTGCACTGTGTGCAATGTTTTTAATTCTGTTTCATGCTACATTTCAGGAGAAAAGCCAGATCCCAATAAGATATTTCATGTATCATCATTGCCAAATTTCTCCACATGTCAGTCTTTTGGATATTCTGCCATACCTTCTGTTAACCAGCCAACTGAAAATGTACCTATGACAACGGAAACAACCCACGTAAGTCATTATCAATACCCTGTATTTGCTCAATGAGAAATGCATGTCTTCGCGTTATTGCGCTTATATATTTTTTTTTTTGGATGGAATGTTTTCAGTTGAGAGTAATTCAGCATTGTTTGTAGCCATTGTTTTATCACAAAAGTAGCATTTGGGAAATTGTGTTTTATAGACTTCCAGCGAAATAAGATTCTCTTGCTAGTGGTGCTTGTCAAAATGATTATCAATCTCAAAACATTTTCTGATCAAATTAAAATAAAAAAATACTAACTCCTTTACATTTGTTTTTATTTTCAAAAAAAAAAATCATTAAATATTAGTAACGTAAAAATCAGCACTACAAAACTGAGAAGTCTGATTACTATGATATATACTTGTTGGTGTGTGTTGCAATCACTGGTATTTCGCATATTGACTCAAAAGTATAAATTTGGGCATCCACCAATTCTTCACCAGTCTTCCATTGTAAATTACTTTTAAATTTAGCTACAACAAATTGTGACACTGTCACCACCAATTGTTAATTTGTATTACTCTTAAAAAATATGTCAAACAAAAATGTTAATTAAGAAGTGGGAAGATTTATTTTCTAGCCATTGGATTTTACAAAGTAAGGTTGTCTAGTGTGATATCTCTAGATCATTCTATAATAAAAAATGGGGTTCACTGAACTAATTTTTGCTTTATAGCTATTCCTAACTCTACTTGTAGACTTGAATATCTGGTAAGGAGTACTTATGGAAATACTCTGAATAAATTTAACCAGTTACCACAGTTAGAATTGAGATTTCACAGCAGAAAAAAATAAGTGATAGCAGAAGTAGATTTAACCATGAAGTTGTGCCCTCTAGCGACCAATAATAGAAATGTGTATTGTAAAATGTGCAATAAACCATTGTATTGATACCATTGTATGATATTGAATTAATATATTGATGACTTTCCTGCAATTTTTTTAATGTTCACAATGTTGACTCAATAGTTCAATATTCTTCCATGGTGGGTCATTTCATTTGCTTAAAGGGGAACTGCTCAATCCCATGAATTGCACCACATGCTCATGGGTAATTAACTCCGCCTACGTCCACTAAGTAAATGAATGCTTATTATGCTCGCTTACTCAAACTGTGATTAACAGGCATTTTGCATACATTAGCCGCCATTTTAAAGTCATGATTTTTACATGTTGCTGCACGTTTCAACCGAAAACAAAAACATTTACACATCAAAAGCCCAACCAGATGAGTGTAATCGCTAGCGCACATATTCATGCCCCCGTAAAAATGTATTTGGAATCACAGCTTGATCTCTAAACATTGTAAATGGCACATTTCCCAGAGCTCTCGCCATGATGTGAGCGGCTTGGTTCGGATGAGCATACTAATTGCGAAGGCCATCTTGCCCCTATTTATAGTATCGGTTCCCCTTTAACAGTATAACCTTATTTATTATTTTGGAACAATAGCCTTCATTAGCATAAGAAATACTTTTGTTGATTTTTTGAATGTTTGAATGTGTCTAATAAATATGCCTTGGTTCATTTTACATCTTGGAGAAAGTTTTATTATTTTGTTTTTGTCTCCACAGTTCCAAGATTCTACTCCAATAACATCAAGTATAATGAAAGAATCCAACTCCACTTCCCCAGACACGGGTAACGAGTCAAGTACCATATCTACACCAGACATAGTGCAATCAGGATTATCCTCTTCAAACATTGCATCACGTGGTGCTGGCCGTACTAGACCAAGGGTTGGTAGAACTCTATTGGGTATACCAAGTATACAATTTAGTCCAAGTTTTGGTGTGTTACCGTTAGATACACCCAGTCCAGGGGATACCGGACCTAATAGTTATATTACACCGCCCACTACAGGGTTGAATGACATGCAGATGACTACAGCACCCAAGAAAGTAAGTAACATTGAATAATTACCATTTAAAATACTTTATTTTAGCTGGAATTAATTTTCGCTGAAAAGACGTTTTGGGTGTTTTGTATGAAATTTATTTTCACTGATTTTTGATGAGTTGAATGTAAAATATAGGAAAAAAGGTATATTCACTGGATTTTATTTTCAATGAATCATTCCTTCAGCGAAAATAGCGAAAAGTAAATCCAAGTGAAAATAAAGTATTTTACAGTATTATTTAATATTCTGCGTTGTGTCAAAATTCATTCATGGTCAATGTCTTATCATTAAATATGTGCCAAAATAAATAAAATGTCATATTACAGTCACTTTCAATGTTTTTAATACTATATTTGTTTCAGACCTTACCACGGCGAAATATGAGTGCTACAACAACCAAACCAGTATTTACACAGTCTGGCAACAGTAGTAATCGTGATATTCAGATAACACAGACACCAAGTCCACATATAGGGTAAGCTATTATTGTGTTCAATCGTTATATCTTTATTAGACTGACGATGCTCTGCTGTCTGGAGTATGCATACAAACTCTGTGAGCTAGAAATGCTTAAGTTCACAAATCCTTGTGTGTTGACACCAGGTTTCATATGCCATAAATTAAATATGCCATAATGTTATTATGATCAGAAGATGGCCGCCTCGTCACATAGTCTCGCATAGTTCCAAATATGGAATTTGATATACCAGTACCGAATATTTACAATTGCAAACTGTAGCCTGGTAGTTGGAACATTATTATAGCATTAGGCATCATTTTTTTAGCTCCGAGGTCGACTTTGTCGAGCGGAGCTTATCATATGAGTGAGTGTCCGTCGTCGTCGTCCCTGTCAATGTTTTACTTTTTCGACTTCTTCTTGAAAACTACAAGCCTGAATGATGTGATACTTGGTGTATATGTACCTTGGGTAGACCTCTCTTAGGTTTGTTCATTTCATGTTGATATCTTCAATTCTCTAATTTTGGTGAATATTTTTGTCATTTTTGGTAAAATGTGATATTTTCGACTTCTTGTTAAAAACCGCAAGTGCAATTGCTTTTGATATTACATATATAGGTACTACATGTGGACCTCTCTCAGATTTGTTCATTTTGTAATGATATCTTTAATTCTCTAATGTTGGTGAATATTTTTGTAATTTTTGGTAAAAACTGATATTTTCGACTTCTTGTTAAAAACCAAAAGTTCAATTGCTTTGATATTACATATATAGGTACTACATGTGGACCTCTCTCAGATTTGTTCATTTCATGATGATATCTTTAATTCTCTAATTTTGGTGAATATTTTTGTCATTTTTGGTAGAAAGTGATATGATTAGCAGACATTCATTGCTGAATCATAAAAATCAATAATATAAGGTTATTACAAGGATACTGCAAAGCATGCACGAACACAGTACAGCGGGAGTATTGACTGACACGCAGCGGATGTTGCAACCGTGTACTGTCTGAGTGCATACTTTGCATTATCCTTGTAATAACCTTATTATTATACATCTTTTCCTCCAAGGAATACATCATGGGAATGCCGAAATCCAGATTTAGTGAACTTCTTTGTGTGGTGTCCGGTCAAACCCTGGCGGCAGCCATGTTTGTTTTTTATTATTAGAGGACACTTACAAAATGTACGCACGTAATCGTTCCATATTTGGAATTCACGTTTCCTAATATGGTAGGATGAAAATACCCAGTACAATACCGCAAAATTACGGCACCCAGTAACTTATGACATTATGGTGACAGATGTATAATAATTGTATTTATCTGTATTCACAGTCCTCCACAGCAAGTATTATTTCAAGGTGTGCGTCGCAGCTCCAGACTTTTTAGCAGTTCTAATTCAGTTAAGGTAAGGAGTGTTCTATTTACTGAGTGGATATATGCTATTAATTTATTTAACCTTTTGAGTGGCAAAGTCAACCATCCACAAAATAGTTCTATTTATTCTATCTATTTAACCAGAAGTAATGTCATTTTGTTTGTTTGGTTCAAAATTAAGATTGAATTCAGTCAAAATTAAAGAAAATTTGAACATTTTCCCTCCAATATGAGCGGGAAAATAATTTTGCACTGAAAGGGGCACTTCCAGTTAAGCCTAATCTTACAACCAATTTACTTTCTGGAATAAAATTACAATGGATAACAAAACATGGTTTAACTTTGTAAACAACATAAACAATAGTGTCCCATGATTCTTTGGTGCAATCCCTGGGCTTTGAAAGGTTCTCCTTTAACTATTTAAGTATTCCAGGTACTGTGAGTGAAATAATCTTCCTTTCAGGAAAATGCAGCTAAGAAAGCTCCAACAAAAATTAAGTTTCAATCACCCAAAGTTCCGACGAGAAAGACGAAAACCAGAAGCAGTAAAAGCACGACGATATCCGAACAGAGCGATGTGAAAGGTGAAGGAATGCCACTCAGTGAGTGTATAAAACCACTACCATTAACGCCTACTGTAGCACAGATTGTTAATTTCCAAAAAGCATCTGCAGGTAAGAGGTTTAATTCATATCACATGTGTTCATGTAGACGACATTTCCCCCTGTGTCCGCAAATATATTAATATTTATTTGGTTCTCAAAATCCTACCTGATATATCTTCACTGTGTCAAGTTAGAAATGCAAATTGAAAAGTGAATCTTCTTTAAATGATGTAAAATAATGCCAACATTGATCATCAGAAGTTAACAATGGTTGTAACATTGTTGCACTGTAAACAACACGCTGTGTTTATCAGGGAAACAATCATAATATTATTCCTTTACACTCACTGTAACCACCATTGATGACTATGTCGACTAGCTGTTTCGCTTCGCTTCGCTCCGCTCCGTTCAGGTGTAACTGGTACTAAATGTTTCAACTGATAACATTGTTAGTGGCAGATGTTTTTGAACATGAATTATGTTTATCATGGTTTACATAACTAACGAGTCAAACAAATCTCAAATGGTGACTTGATTTTCCCGGGTTGACTTTTTTAGCAATTCATAGCAGAGGTGGAGTGTGTCAAAGCCATAGTTATCCTCAAACCATGTGCTAGTGAGGAATATATATTTATCATGACTTTGTCCGTGTCACCAGTAATGTGGATCTTCCAATACGATAATATACAAGTATATAGTAAACAAAATAAATTTCATTGCTGTTTTTAGTCCCCGTTCGGATGCAGATTGACCTCTATGTGTCCGTGTCATTAAACATTAAAACTTCACACATACATCATACATTATATTATACATATGCACATCAATTTGTTTCACAATCTGATCACGGCCGAATGATGGCTATTTTTGTCATGAAAAATCATTAAAATCAAACATTTCTTGGCTGTTTACAGATGTATTTTGTTCAAACTTGGTACATACATTGGACATCATGGGACCTTGTTGCACATCATTTTGTTTTTCAGATAAGATTCAAAATGGCTGACTGGTGGCCATTTTGTTTTAATGAATGTGGTTCTAGTGCTATATCTCTGATATGCGTTGAGTGATTATGTTCAAATTTTGTATATTCATTAAACATCATCTCATAGATATACAGATATATTGGTTTGGCTATCCAAATCAAAATGGCTGAATGATGACCATTTGTGTGCTAAAAAAATCTAAAAAATGAAGCATTTCTGGCATTCTGGAACCAGATCTCTGTCATTTATGGATGGATTTTGTTCAAACTTGGTACATACATACAATGGACATTTTGCATTTCTGATGGGTGTCATTTTGTTTTTCAGATCAGATTAGATTTGATAACTAACAGGGACTATGCCGTGCATGGCTTGCTCTAATATAGTTTACTTTATATCAACAGAGGGTCTGATGTGTTTATTACGAGACATCGCTAAATCTTATTTATCACTGAGTCAGTATGATTGTCGGAAATCTATCACATCTTTCAATAATCTACCTATGCATCACTATAATACACCATGGATACTCTGCCAAGTTGGCAGAGCATACTTTGAAATGGCAGAGTACAACCAAGTAAGTAAGAGGGATTGCACAATCAACCTTTCCTAGAGTTGTGTTCAGTTTAAAAGCCAAAAATAATTATTAAGAAAACAACTAATTACATTCCTATCCGTCAGTCAACTTTTAATCATTCGCTGACAACTCTTTATGATAACGCCTGTAAGTCTTTTGGCACTAAACTGATTATTTTAACTGGTAAATGATTGTTACCGATCTACTGTCATTTAATGTAATTACTCCACTCAGAACAACACTAGTAAATAAAAGAAACTGCAACTCATTGATTTAAATACAAATTCACTACGTTCAATTACCCACCATAGACTCCAGTCAGTCAAAATGACTATTTTGAACTGTAGGCATTAATCAGCGATTCTGCAGGTGACGGAGAGATAGAATCCAGGTCAGGGGAAGCCCCATGACCTCAAGATTCTTTTACCCCTTACGTCACGAACCCACGTGACCGAGGCCACCTGGCAACGCCACAGGTAGCCGTCCATCACTCTTAATTTCTCTCCGCCTCGAGTGAAGATGAAAT